AGGAAGAGGTGCCCTTTCTGCTTGTTGCATGTGACGGTTCCCAATATCATCATCACCTATTCTAGCCATGCCTGAAGCCAAAATATCTGAGTCTTTTCAATAATGAAGCTTGTACATTTTCTTATGCTTTTTAAGTTTTATGTCCTTTTAAAAGAATCTTAACTGAGAACCAACAAAATGGCTCAATGGGTAAAAGCGCTTACTATGCAAGCTGAAACACTGATCTAAATCCCCAGAAACCACATAAGAAAGCCTGGTGTCCAGCTATAATTGCAGCACTCCTACCTCCAGATGGGAGGTGGAAACAGAACAGCCAGCCAGCCTGGATTAAGTAGCACCACGAAACAAGAAACCCTGTCTCAACAAATGAAGGGAGAACAGACTCAAAAAAGTTGTTCTTTGAGCTACACACACACACACACACACACACACACACACACACACACACTTGGGGATGGGGGAAAGAAGACTAAAAATAATAGCCAGGCATGGTGAGCCACACCCTTAATTTTAACACCAGGAGCCAGAGGCAGGCATATCTCTGTGAGTTCAAGGTTAGTCAGACAGATCTACATAGCAAGACCCTGTCTCAAAGGAAAAAAAAGAAAACTCAAAATGATGCCATGATGCATGTCCATGTTTGTGTGTTGATACCAGAGGTCAATAGCAAGTGTCCTCAATCATGCTGACCCCTCCCGCCCCACTTCTCTGGCTTCTAGCTCAGAGATCCACTGGTCTCTGCCTCCAGAGTGCTAGGATTAAAAGTGTGCTCCATCACATCTAGCAAGTACTTTTTGAGACACAGTCTCTTGCTGAATCTGGAGAGCACCGGTTCAGCTAGACTGACTATGTGTTCCAAGACACTCCAGAGTCACTGATGTGTGCAACCCTCATGCTTACACAGCAGACACTTTATGAGCAGAGGCATCTCCCAACCTCCATTCTCTTGCTTTTTTAAAGACAGGCTGGCCTTGAATTCTCTGTTATAGCTGAGGATGACCTTAAACTCCTGATTCTTCTGCTTCCCCTCTCAGTGTGGGCATTACAGGTGTGTGTAGCACCATCAAGCCCTGCTCAGGCTGTGCTGAGGATTCAACTTCAGGTCAAGAACATGCTAGGCAAGCACTCAAACAACTGAGCAACATCCCAACTCTGTTTCTTGGAGGCACACTTCATTTTTGCTGCTGTTGTTGTTGTTCATTCAGAAAATATTTGAGAGAGTCAGACACTGTTCTATGAACACAAGATTATTCACTAAACCAGCAAGACCCCTGTTCTCAGAATATGCACTGTGTTGTACAGCAGATGCTGTGGAAGAAAGAAAGTGGGGTGGAAAGGGAACTTCAGGATGACTGGCTGTTGGGAACTGGACTTGGGTAGGATTTTCTGAGAATTTGAGACTTGAATAGACTTATGGAAATGAGAGAGGTGGCAAAATGGATGTCTGCAGTAAATGTCAGGTGGACAGCATGGTGAAACAGAGTCCTAAAGAAGCCAGGGTGAATCAGGAAACAGCCTGGAGGGGTCAGGGAAAGGGTCAGACTATGTTGGCCTGGAAGGACCACTGAGAACACTGGCCTTTACTATGAGTGCCAGGGGGACATTCCAGGGCCTTGAGCAGGAAGAAGTCAAGTTGGACTCCCAGGCTACAAAGTTGAGAATTGCTTACTTGATCCACGGTATCAGTTAGCTTTCTTTAATATATGTATTTATTATTATTAGTTGTTTTTTGTTGTGTTTCATTTCTTTTGTTTTAAGACAGAATCTCCTGGCTGTTCTGTCTCAGAGTTCATTATATTATATCATTGGGTTTGAAAGTTAAAGGTTTAAGTGGGGGGCATTCAAAAGATAAAAGGGGAGGATCTGGATTCCCACACCCAGTGAATGAAATGTAAAAGGGAAGGACACGTTGGTGGAAGGAAGAGTCAGGAAGTAGGTAGTGAAGAGGGTGGGATGTGTGGAGAATTGTTAACCAAAGACTGGGGGTTGAAAGGGGTCAAGTATTCAGTTCCAGAATGCACACTGAAGGCGAAGGCTGCATCACAGAAGAAATGTTCAGAATATGTGAACAAAAGGAAAAAAGAAGAGAAACAGGTCAAGTGGTTTTATGTATTAACATTTTAGGGAGGGGGAAAATTAAGTAATATAAGGTTGGGGGGTTAGCTAGCATCAGAAGAATTCTTCCATCCAGCCCTTGGTAGACAAGAAAAATTCTTCCCACTGTACCACAATTTGGACAACATAGAAGCTGATAGATTGAGCATCCACCCCGGAACCAAAGAGGCCATGAAGAAGTGTCAGTTACACTGATGATGATACCACCTGAAATCAGAGAAAGCAATTCCACTCTACAATAACCTGGCCCTGTGTATACCTGTCAACATCTTTATGCCTCTTCCCCAGGACCAAACCTAAATCTTTGTCAGCTATGATGAAAATCCCAGTGTCTAAAGAGGCAGGGAAAGGCCTCTTCTCACAAGTCTGCAGCACCTGATTTTACCTCCAACAACACATGCTGCCCAAGCGCGGCAAACAAGGGCAAGGAGAACTTCCCTTCCACTGCCCTTACTTCTGGGGCTGGCTGGCTTCTCTTTACAAATACTTGGGGCAGGGAGGAGTTGGAGAGATGGTTCAGCAGTTTAGAGCACTTCCTACTCTTCCAGAGGAACTGAGTTCACCTACCAACACCCCATCAGGAGGTCACAGAGTCTGTACCAACACCCTCTCTAGCCTCTGAGGGGACCTGCACACACACAACATCCATTCACACAGAAACACACACATATAAAGACACATAAAATAAATCTCTGTTTTAAAAATGTATGAGAACACATGTATGTCAACATAAGAGAATATTATTTCCAACTAGAGAGAACCTTCAGTGCTTAGCCTCTAAGGAAAAGTGGCTGACTGTAAATCAGGCCCTCGAGACTTGGGTCATTTAGATGCTCCCCACAATTGTTAGGATACTTATTAAATGCTGAATAATTAATAACAGTGCCTTCAAGACTCTCTCAAAGAAAAGATCCTGTATAAGAAACCATCCATATTTAGGCATGGGCCTCACTTCCTGCCAACAAACCAGATTTTAGTGGGACAGAGAACTTATCTTCCCAGGGTACTTATTAGTAAAATGGCTGCACGTCTGAATTAACTACCCAAGAGTGGAGCATAAGGAAATACTGAAAATAGCTGTATATGAGGCAAGGGATGTAGCTCAGTGGTAGAGCACTTGGCCTGGGTTCAATTCCTAGCAACACACAACACACACAATGTACAAGCCAGGCTCCAAGATGGTCACAGAGATCTCCATTTCTCAGGATACTCTAGAACTCACACTCTCTTCCCATGCACCAGTGTCCCTCCATAACCAATAAAATATAGCAGGGGTAAGTCATTTTCGTGATCAGTTTGTATAGGGCTGATGGAGTCTTGGGCTGTCTTGAATCACTTTCTCTGGCACAAACCAGATACTATGTTGTAGCCTGTGAAGAACCACATGAGTGAGCCTAGAATGGAGGTTAGAACCCACCCAATCCAGCCTTCAGATAATAGCAGCCTCCTAAAGGTCTGATGCAGAACCACCCAGATTCCTGATGCACAGACAATAATTTCAGGTGCTAAATTCTGGGTCATTTGTTACACAGATGTAAAAAAATAATTTCACTTCCTACGTAGAACCAAGACAACAATTGAAGGTTTAACTTTAGTTCTCATTTGACATCCATTAAAAATCAATTTCTCTGCTAATAAGAAAAAAAATATCTTTCAGGCATTCAACAATCACTTTTTTGAATAAGGAAAGGGTTTGCAAGCTGCCTATGTTTCCATATAATCTAAAATCTATAAAAAAGCAGTAACCACATAGGTAAGGCATACGTTCAAGAACACATTTTGAGCTGTTCAATCGGTCAATTTCATTAGCTTATGCTTTACCAATATATATCACTCCCTGGTCATTCTGAAGGTTTGAGGCTATCAAGTCACACTGTCCCATGGGCACTGTCCCATATGCCCTCCCATCTAAGGGAAGAAGAAAAATTAAGTCTCTCCATTCCATTAACATTGGGGAAAGGGGGAATTCATTTAGTATTTTAGTAGGAGGAAGAAACCCTGATCTCAAGTGCTAAGAACAACTGAAATGTCTACAACTCATGACTAAGTGGCAACGGTAGTGCTCAAAATCCTGATCACAGCTGAAATGGTGGTGGGGGCGGGGAAGATGCTGCCTCTTCCTCCTCACTGGACTTTGCTGTCTCTCAAAGCAGCAGGAGGGTAGTGCAGCTCTAAAACCAAGTGCCTCCCTATGCACAAAGAAGGTCAAAGGGCGAGCTTGCTTTCCGCCAACCACAAAACCTACCACTGCCAAACCTAATCAATGTGGCCCACTAAAGAATGTGAATGAAGCCCCAGACAGAAAACCACAGCGAGACTCTCCTCCCGCTGCCACTGAGGTCGGAGTCAGGTGACTCCTGGGGCAAACAGCAAACCTAAACAAAGATCACTCCCCACATGACTGACTGGGGAGAAGAGCAAGACTGCTCAGTCCCACCCCGGAAAGCCATTAGCCATTAACTATTGCTTCTTTGCAGTATCCAGAAACTGGAGGCGCCAACAAGTTATTCCTATTCCGTAGTCCTCTTCAAGGAATGCACCTAGAGGTGTGATGGACCCCCTTCCTAAGACCAGTACTGCAGCACAAGCTCCTGGCCTTCACATGCATGCTGCAACCTGAACCCCTCCCCAGCAGCTGTCACCCGCGCTCTGGGCCAGTCTCAGACAGGGAAACACATGCCCCCTGGCCACTCAGGCTGCAGCTGAGACCCCGCGGGGGCACCAAGAGGACACGCTTTGGTCAAGGGTTCTAGGGGTCAGAGCACGCCTGATCCCCGGGAAAGGGGCTTTAGAGTGAGCACGGCCCAGTGTTAGGGGTGGCCCTCAATCCATCACCCTTCCTAAGGACTCTCCGCCGCAGGAGTCCCCAGACCCAAGCAGCCCACCTTGTCACCGAAGCTGCGGGCCATCAGAAGGTCCGGGCTGGGAGTGCTGTCGCCTCCCACGGCCTCCTCGCTGCTGGAGCCGGCCAGCGGGTGCGGCATGTCGCGCAGGGACTGGGGCCCCGTGGACAGCAGGGCCTTGGGGGGCCCGCCCGCCATGGCGCGCAGCGCTCGGGACCCGCCGCCGCGGTTGCTTCCTCCCGCAGCACTCGGCCCTCCTCGGCTCGAGGCCCTGTACCAGTCGGTGAGGTCCGCCGCCGCTTCTCCTGCCCACAAGGCTGGGCTTTCCCGAGAGGCACACCGCAGCTCCGCGCGCCAAGCAGTGTCGATCCCCAGCACCTCCGGCCCTGCGCCCAGCTAGCAGCGCCACGCCGCCCACGACTCCCAGCCCCGCCCCCGCGGAGCCTCGCCTGCGGGGAGGGGGAAGGCGGGACGCCCGGAGGGGCGGGGCTTAAGTAAGGCGGAGTCCCGCCCCGCCCTCCTCCCGGCAGGAAGTGCGCCAACTGGCAGCTGCGCTGCATGCTACCGGGTGAGGAGGACTCTGAAAACACCGGTGTAAGTCAGGGTCTTCCAGCCTCATCACAGAAGGAACCCAGAATAGAAATGTGGAGCATATTTTAGTAACGTAGAGGGTTACGTGGCCCAGAGGAGTAGAGAAACTAGGAGAACATTTAAAGAGGTAGTGTGGGATGTTTTCAGATCCACACTGATGTCCCCATATGGTCTGGCTTCTGCAGCTAAGCAGGGTTTACGTAAGGCGAAACCTCAGAAGCGTGAGCATCCGTAAATAGCGTGTGCAACAAATGAGTTATGGCCCTTACGAGCACACGTTGTCAACCAGTCTTCTGCAAGAACCATAAGGTTCGAGTTATTTTTCATACATTGATGGTTCCTATGCTAGCCTCTGGCCGTGCTGAATTCTCAACTTTTATTTGCTGGCATGGTGGAGATAGTAAAGGCATTACTTTCAACTCTTTAAAGTGTACCTTCGTCCCTTTTGCCTATCAGGGGAACTTCTGTTCCTAAGGCCAAGAAGTTAGAAGGTCATCTACCCATCTAGCAATGACTTAAGTACTGTGAGACACACATATCCAATCCCTAAACTTGTTAGGTTTGTCCAGTTTTCCTGCTAAAAAATGGTGACAAGACTTAGCACTGGGATTCACAAAGGGCTCTATCTGCCACACTTTTTCTAGAAATAAAAGCGGAAAATGCAGAATTGAAACCAACCCAAAATAACTACCAGAGTCTCATTTAACTTGAGTGACTCCTTTTCTTCTGGCAGAGTCCGAAGAGTTGGGCCTTTAGCATTGTCTTTTATCCCCTTCGGAGCAGCCTACCTTAACTGGGGAAATAAGAGTGAAAGGGCACTAACAACAATTTTAAATGCATCTGTCTCATGGGAGCACTGAGGTCTGAGTCTCTGAGTTGGGCAAAACTGTCAATCCATTTACATTTAGGAACTGCCTAAAACTATTACATACTCTTTTATCTTAATTAAAACAGGAAATACAGAAAAAACTATAAATGACTGATCTATAGATATCTAACAGATTTTCTTCTTGAATATTGTATTTATTTTAGCAATTGGGCCACATTAACAAAATGGATCTCTTAAGATTCCATAGAAGTGGGACTGGAGAGATGGCTCAGTAGTTAAGAGCAAAGCCAGCTCTTATAGAGAATCCAGGTTAAACAACACTCATAAATTAAAAACAAATGTCAAAAGAAAATTCCACAGAAGAGCCATTACATGAGTCAGTAGGCAAAAGCACCTGTCCCCCCCATGCCTAAGGACCCAAGTTCAGCCTTGATCCCCAACAGCACTCCCACAGTGAGATGGAAGACAGCAGCAGCAGAGTCACCCAGAAGCCCAGAGTGCTCAGTGCTGCTGCTTCAACAGAAACATGAGAAACTCTGCCTCCATGGAGTGAGATGAAAGAACCAGCTTCCTAAAAGTTGTCCCTCGGGCCTCAAGCATGTGCACACATGCACACACAATAAAACGGTTTCATAGCCTAGCAATTAGGACACAGACAGCTATGAGAGTTAGACGGGACTCTCAGGATCAAGGTCCTTAAGAGCTCTGAAAATGCTAATTCTCGTCTTTTTCCCTCAGGTTTTTCTCTACTATTCAATGAAACAACAACCACAGAATATCCCTAATTATACGGTGCATCCCAAACTCCTTAGTTTGAGTTAGAATGACACTTTTCTATTCCTCTCCAGAGTGGAAGGAGAGGAAGAAGAGGAGAGGAAGGGAAGGAGGGCGGAGAGAGGGAGAGAGGGAGAAAAACCAGCATTCCTAAAGAGCCATATGAAAATTTATTTAGGGGCTGGAGAGATGGCTCAGAGGTTAAGAGCATTGCCTGTTCTTCCAGAGGTCCTGAGTTCAATTCCCAGCAACAACATGGTGGCTCAAATCATCTGTAAAGGGGTCTGGTGCCCTCTTCTGGCCTGCAGGCATATACACAGGCAGAATATTGTACACATAATAAATAAATAAATAAATAAAAAAGATTTATTAAAAAAAAGAAAATTTATTTACTTTCCTGGTCAGTCAGAGGTATCTGGCCAAAATGATCCAAATTGTAGTAGTTATCAAAGCCAAAGAAAGTGAACTATGGGAAATATTTTTGGTGGAAAGGTCCAGCATTTGTTTTCAGCTGAGGCCTGCCTGTTCTTGTTCACTGTTTCTTGTTTCATTTCAGTGCTCCTTGTGGTGAGGAATAGTTCTTGACATAACCTAAGTCCCAGAGCATGTGACTCTGTCTACTGAGAGCAACATGGTGGTGAAGAGGAAACATGGGAAGTTTATCAGAGCAAAAGCCTGTGGTGTTGGCTAGAAATTATGGAGAGAAACTTGGATTTCTAGGGCTGAGCACTGAGAAAAACACGGGAGTTTGTGGGATGCCCCCAGTGTCTCTACATATTGGGAACTGCACTTCCCTGGAAAAGCCTGTCTCCATTAAGATTCCACAGACAAAATTATTACAACTTGAAGCACAATTAATAAAAGCTCAGAGATAGATGTTGGAGTTCAACCCGAAGACCAGAAAAGTAAAGCAGCCAGTCACTGGCTCTTAATTTGACCTCAGTACAAAAATGGTGAACCTGCCTCCAAGAATCTCAGGATGAGACTGAGACTGGGAGCTGTCTCCTTTCATTTTATAATACTCTCTAGTTCTGGTATTAAAAGCGTGCACCACTACCGCCTGGTTTCTATGGCAGACTAGTGTGCCTACTGGGATCAAAGGTGTGTGTTATTGCTGCCTGGTCTGCAAGACTGACCAGTGTGTCTGGTTTACTTTTCTGATTCTCAGGCAAATTTTATTTACTAAAATACAGATGAAATGCCACTACAACAACTTTGTGATGTTGGGATGTTGCAGGTTGTCTTTGGCTATCTTTAGTTTCCTTAACAGTCATTTATTGCTGGACATGGTGGTGCATACCTTTAATCCCAGCAGAGACAGGGAGATCAAGGCCAGCTTGGTATACAAAGAAAGTTCCAAGACAGCTAGCACTACACAGAAACTCTGTCTCTAAAAAACAAAAATAAATTAAATAAATAAATGTTAATATACTCATGTGTTTGGCCTAACTTCCTTTTGACTATCAAGCAAAAAAATTTAAGATGTGTTAACTCACCAATGGAGTAGCTTCCACCAACTGGAAAGCTGAAACCATCATCTGAGAGCATCTGAGGCCTATAGCAGAGATGTCCCCACTTTGTTATAGCCTGACTATGTCCCCATGAATGCATTTGGTAAACACATTGATTTATGACTTTCCTTTGTTCTAGGTCTATAAAAGTTTACCTAAGTCAGGATGTGTAACACTTGCCTTTAATCCCAACACTGGGAAGGAAATTGATCTCTTGGAAGCTAGCCGGGTCTACGTAGTGAGTTCTGAGCCAGTCAGGGCTATATAGTGAAACCCTGCCTTGAAAGGAAAAAAAGAAAGAAAAGAATCATGCATGAACTTCCACAGTAGAACATATTCCTTGGGGCATGGTCAAACTTACTTGGTCTAGAATAAACTATCTACCTTTAGAGCAAGACCCATGGGCCCTTTCCCATCTACAAGGAATGGTAAGCACTTAGCCTGGGACCTATCAAGAGACAGAGCCCTGGGTCCCACAATTTGGTAACTTTGCTGAACAGGAACCACATCAACCTCACTGGCAATTCTGCCAGGACAACATACGAGCGCTCAGTCCTCAGAAACAAAGTAGTGCCAACAAAGGCATTGTCCCATTTTCTCCCTTGGTACAGCGTGTGCTTAGAAACTCTTGGTGTTTGTATTAGCTGCTTATCCTCCTCTGGCTTTTAATACAATCATAGCTTTATTCTATATGGCATCCCAAGCCCTGTCTCAAAATAACACCACAGCTTCTGAAGTGGATGGCTGGTGAGGACAAAGGAGGTTTTCAGAGAATGTTCAGAGTGACCTGTAACAAGCCACAGAGGGCTGTCTCAATCAAGGGGGGGGGGGGTACCCAGTTGAGAAGGCACAATCCCAACAGAGAGAAATTTGTGTAGACAGTTTAGTTCAGCTGGTGATATTTCAGGATAGAAGCAAATCCACTTGAAGCCAGAATCTGAAGAGTTTTACAAACAAGAAATTAGATCCTGCTGAAGAGCTGACAGACAAGTTCTGAGGTAAATAACAGGATCATTTTATCTCCTCATCAAAGCGCTGAGGCAGGACGGGTGAAACTGCTCGCTGTGCAAGTATAACGGCCCAAGTTCAGACCCAACGAGCCCAGAAAGAGCCCTGTGTAGGACTTCCTGCTCTCGCAGAGGACCTGGTTTGATTCCCAGCATCCACATGGTGGCTCATAGCTACCTGTGATTCCAGTTCCAAAGTATCTAATGCAGGCACTCACACACATACAAACAAAAATAAATAAATCTAAGAAAAGTGGGCTGGAGAGATGGCTCAGGGATTAAGAGCACTGGTTGCTCTTCTGCTGCGGGAACTTCTTCCGCTCCTTCAGCCAATCGCCGCTGAGATACCAGCCCACTGGGGCATGGTCTCTCTCTCTTTTAAAAAGCAGTGGCTGTCCTCCACTCTCTCTCTGGCTTCCAGCTCCGCTTCCGGCTCCTAGACTCCTTTCCTGTTCGTGCAGAGGGGCTGTTGTCTGGGACGGTAATCTGTAAGTTTTTTCCCCTTTGAATAAATAACCATTCTATTAATCATAATTTCAAACTGGTGTGGGATTGTTTGTGACTTACGCCTTCACTCTTCCAGAGGACTTGGGTTCAATTCCCAGTACCCACATAGCAGCTCACAACTGTCTGTATCTCCACTCCCAGGGGATCCAACACACACATGATGTACAGGTAAACCTGTAGGAAGAACACCCATTTACATAAAATAAAAA